ATGGACTTCAACTCCCAGAATTCCTGAACCAGCATAGTTGGGCTTGCTAGCTCTCTCCTGCCCTTCCTGCTTCCTGCTTCCTGCAGAGACGCAGCCAAAGGAGAAGCCCCGCCCAGTAAGCTTTTCAGCTGCTGGGAGAAGACCGTGAGTCCACTCTCTTTTTCACTTACACACACACAGAGAGAGAGAGAGAGAGAGAGAAGGGAAGCGCAAGTGCCTCTCTCTGTCTCTGTCTCTCTCTGCGAATGGCAGAGGAGGCTGGGAGCCGCAGGGGAAGGCTCAAAGAGCCACATGCGGCTCCGGAGCCGCAGGTTGCCGACCTGTGGTCTAGATGAAGGACTAAATACAGAAAAGGTGTTAGTTGGGATCACAGTGGGAGGAATCAGAACAATGGCATAGGATGGGCTGAACTGTGAACGCTCGACTGAAACACGACATGCCGAGGGTGCGGGGGTTGGAGAGAAAAACCAGAAGTAAGAGCTTCAAACAAAGCACTTGTGCAGTGTAGGAGAATCAAGATAAATAACTAAAAAAGGACTGTCTGCTCACTGAATGGACGGCTGGAATTTCCTTGATAATAATGTGGGTATGATCTTCTACTGACTGCCATCTACTCTTATCTATCTACTCTAGATAATTTCTGGCGGAGTGTGGCTGTGGGTTTGTGGGCTATCGCTATTCCTAGGGGTTGGGGAAATCTGGCTGTCATTTCTGACACCCCTTTTGTGTGTGGTGAGGTTTGTTTTTGCGTGGTGGTCGGCTGTGTAGTGTGCAGTGCTTTGGTTGCTTTGTGTCAGAATATGAAGTTTTTGAGATAGCCATTACGGAGAAAGATGTCCAGCAGCCATTTTTCTTCTGCTTTTCTTGGTGCCGCAGTGTGTCCTGAAGAGGGTCTGGACACAGCTTCTTTTTTTCTGCGATGGGGTGGTTGCTTGCAAAGCTGCAGATCTGGTCTGTGTGTGTGAGTTTGTGGTAGACGCAGGTTCCTAGTTCTCCATTGTCCAGTCTCCTTTTTTTTTTGTAATATATTTTATTGATTTTTTAAAAAAAACATAAATCACTTGATAATTGGTGAACGGTGTGTTGTCTGGGTTACATTTGTAAAACAATCATTAACAATTAATTTCTATAATCCATATTCCACATAATGATTTTAGTTGATTTCCTCTTCCCCCAAAATATCCTCTTTTGCAAACATTAAGTTAATACAATTCTTATTGTTTTGATAAATAATTGAATATATAATTTTTTTCCAATATTCCTAAAAATAATAATCATATCAGTATAATGTTTCTTTTCTATTCAGTCATTCTGGCTGCCTTATCATAGATCCTGTTACAATCCTTATTTTAGTTTATTTCTCCCACCAAATTCCTGCGCGAGCTGCACTGGCTGCCGGTGGCCTTCCGGGTGCGCTTCAAGGTGTTAGTAACAACTTTTAAAGCGCTCCATGGCAATGGACCTAGGTATTTGCAAGACCGCCTCCTACCAAACACCTCCCTTTGACCAGTCCGCTCCCACAGAGAGGGCCTCCTTAGAGTGCCGTCGGCCAGACAATGCCGGCTGGCGACCCCCAGGGGGAGAGCCTTCTCTGTAGCAGCTCCTGCCCTCTGGAATGACCTACCCCCCGACCTACGTACAGTTGCGGACCTGCGCCTTTTTCGCCGAGCCCTGAAGGCCCATCTATTCCGTGCGGCCGGCCTGGCGTAGTTTGATTATGTTTCAGTGGGGGGTTTTTTACGGGTGTGTTTTTAGAACAGGCCTGTTATTTAATTCAATTTTAAAACAAACTATTNNAAATAAATAAATAAATAAATAGATATTCTTACTGGTGAAGATTTTCTCAAAAATAAATTACATTTACATTTACAAATTTAACTCTATTTTTCCCGTATAAGCCATCTCACACTTCTGCATTTCTTCAGAGATAGATAAAACGATGAAAAAAGAAAGGAGAGCAAGAGTAAAGAAACATAAGAAATAACATATTACTTAAAATATATATCCCTCCTAGGCTAATATATATTTATTTCCTCAATTTCTTATTCTTTTTAACAATAATTAAGAGTATATTTAATCTTTAAACATTCCATTCAATACATCTAGTCATCTAATCCTTTGACTCTTATTCAAAACATTTTTATTCATTATAATTTTCTTAAATTCACTCACATTTAAGTATCTAAAACATTTCCTTTATTTAAGTCATTTCAACTTTTTTATACTACTCATGTCAAGAAAAAGAACACAAAGGAGAAAAAAGCATACTATATTGTTTAGAGAGTTCATCCCTCTTAGAATAGCATATATATTCCAAATTTTTTCTATTTCTATTTTCCATATTCAAACAAATGTTTCTTTTTTAAGTATTTTCTCTGGTAAGTACCATTATCTATTTTCTTGGTTTCCACCTTAGTCTTTTTCCTTTGCCCAGTATCTTTCTTAATCAATTTATTTTGCTGAATCAAACAATTTTTCCGTATATTCGTAAATGTTGGTGTAGATATAAAAAGTAAATCAGTATCTTTGTTAAGGGCATTTGCTCACTCATTTTTATTGGGAGTCTTTTCCCTTCTTTTTGTCTCTGCTTCTCTTATCGCTTTTTGTCTCTCCAGTTCCAGTGTTTTCCCTGGTATCTCTGTAGTACGTTTTGTCCAGTCTTTTTTCTTGTCCTCAAGTTTGTTTTGTAGTGTTGAAATATAAGTTGTCTTTTCCAAATCTAGTATTTCTTGTAAAAAAATTTCCACTTGGATTAAATCATGCTCCTTTGTTTTATAGAATTCCATCTTTGAATCTCTATCCTCGAATTTATGTTCAGTTTTGTCTGTTCCTTCTCTGTTGTGTTTTCCTGAGGGTATTTTTGGTATAAAATTGAATTAGAGATGAGTTGATTTATATTTTCAAAATTATTCTGGATTTCTTTGCAATCTGAGATCATTGTTATTTGAATTAGTTGCAACATATCATATATCTCCTCTTGAAAAATATTCATTTTTTCTTGATAAGTATGTCCTATAAATCTCTGATTTTCCATGATGACCAAAAGTCCAGATTCCCCCCTCCTCTGGAAATAGCTTTGGAGTCAGAGTTGAATAGATACTTATAGTCCAGAGAGTTCAAAAAAGTTCTTTTTTTTTGTTCCCTCAGATTTGTAAGTCTGCCTTTATCTACACAGCTGTTCTCTATTGTTAAAGCTTTGAAGGTCACAAGTAGAGATTAGTTTTCCCCCCAGATTTTACCATGACTGTCATAATCCTTATCCACCAGTAGGTGTCAGCACTGGTTCATTTTTCAGATTTTATTCCTCCATGAAAGGTTCAATTTGCCGCTTCAGTTAGCAAAAGGGTGGGGCAAATCCCCCCTTCCTTCACTCTCCGAGGGTTTTTTTTGCTTCTTGGGAATTTTTCCCCTTCAGGAAAGTTGATAGGTAGGATAGAGAAAATCAATGTTCTTACCCAGATTCAAGCACGCTGTTTAACATCAGCTTAAAATAGTGCTTTTGACTTCGGTTGCTCACAGCTTGGGCTAGACTCTGGAGTTAGGCTAGCCTTTCTCCTGTTGGTTTCTGGAAGGCTTCTCCTGGACCGATCGGGTCGACCACCGTCTCTCTGAGGTCCCTGGGACTTCCTTCCTTCATTGCCACCTCTCCGGGGTAGCTTCTGGCCCATTTACGGTCCCTAACAGGAAGAAACTCAGCTGGAGGGCACGGAGTCCCGAACCCCTAAACTGCTGCGCTGCACGCAGGACCGGAAGTCTGTCCAGTCTCCTTATGTTGATGTCGAGGAATGGGAGTCTGTTGTCTCCTCTTCACATGTAAATTTGATCCCAGGGAGTATGTTGTTAAGCAGGTATTAGCAGATGGGGCAAAGAGACGCTGCCAGGGAGTGGCCATATAAGAGACAGTGTAGCCATAGCTGGACAGTAGCCAGGGTGAGAGGCCTAGAAGAGAGCTTTGTTTTGTGCTGGAGCCGAGCTAGAGGGCGCACTTGTGCTGACGCCGGGGGGGGGGCAGGGAATGAGAGGGTCCCTTGTGCCTGATGTACGTCTCGATTGTGCAGCTGAAGCCATTCTATTCCCAAGATGATAGACGCTTGCAAGGAGGCAGTTACACAGAGTGTTATGAACTTGGTGTGATCTTTGATTGTCACCTGCATGGGAGCCATGTGCTGCAAAGTCAGCCCACTCTTAGTGGCTGCCTGTCAATTGTCTCAACTATCATTGGGCTTTCTAGAGTAGGTAACTTTAGTTTCTGTACTTTTTCTATACTTGTGAAATTAGTGGTTGCCCCCGAGTCTACAAGAGCTGAAAGTTTTATCTTCTGCCTGGAATCTAAAGTAACAATAACAGGAGCAATTAAGTACGTTTGTTTGCTGTCGGCTGTTTGAGCTCTTCTTAGATGGTGGAGGGTCCCCCTTCGGAGCTCCTGGGAGATGGGCTAGCAAAGTTTCC